ATGCTATTTCCCATAGAAAAAGTAAACCAGTTTACTTTTCTCCATATCCTTGCCAACACTTGTTCTTATTTTTTTGGTAATTATATTCTAACAGGTGTGAGGTGATACCTCATAGTGGTTATGATTTGCATAGTTTCTTAATACCTTCAGGTGGTGAAGCAATTCCGGTTTGGGGAAAAAAACCTGCCTAAGAGCACTTAGGCTTTAGGGCTGGGAGGTATATAAGTTGTTAAAAGTATGATCTTAGAAATAAATTATTGTCTAATTTCATGGAGATATACTTTTGGTGATCTCTGTGAGGTAGTTTTATATTAAATAATGTCAGACACTCTACCTTCCCCTTAAGAAGGGGTGGTCTTAGAACTTGAGCCTCATTGTGTGATATGTTTATTTCTTAGAGCTGACTTTTTTTTTTAAAGATTTATTTATTTATGCGTACAAGAACTGGGGTACCAGCCAGGTGTGGGGGGTGAGAGGATTCACCAGAGACAGAGCAGGGAGCAGAACAGGTGGATCTACTGAAATACACTGCTGAGGGGGAGCAGCGAGTGAGACAGGAGAGGTCTGCTGCGCCATGTAGATTACCTCCCTGACCAGGAATCGATCTCGGTGCTGCAGTGGCTATTTTCATAGTGCTGTGTCTTAACCCCTTGCACCACCAGGGAGGTCCTAGAGCTGACTGTGATAAGATGCAGTCGGTTGCAGGCACACCACTGACCTAACAGCTTTTTAGGAAAAAAAATTCTACCTCGCTAGTCAGAAATGTACACATTGACTACAACTTGAATTCAGAAATGTTAGGGCGAGGGGGAAGTGTTGGTATCTTAGAATCACAGGAAAATAAGAATGTTAATTTAAGTGACCATATTTTGAATTTATTTCTGTCTGATCCCCCCTCCATCCCACCCCAGGGTCAAAGTCAGAGTGGTGGACATGGTCCTGGAGGTGGCAAGAAGGACGACAAGGTAAATCAGCCAGCTATGTCATATGATTAAATAATGGAAATCTTGCATGGATTGTAGCTGAGAAGATCACTTGGGACTCATAATTTAAAAATGCAAAATAAATTTTGTACTTACCAGCTTGGCCTACAGATATACTGCCCTTTTCATGCTTTAGAAAAGATTATTGACCTAGCTGTCATATAGGTATTTGGGAGTTAGTGGTTTTTAAATCTGCAAAAGTAATAACATTCCAGAAGTAATTAAAATTTAATTGTCATTAAAATAAATTGCCTGTAGTTTTAGTGTTTAATATCCTGAACTATGAAGAATTGTCACAAATGATTCAGTATCAAAGTGGGCATATAGGAATTCTGACCTCTCCATTCCTTACTGAAGCATTTGTCATCATGAATTATTAAAAAAAAAAAAAATCAGTTACATTCACTTATTAAAATTACCGGAATGTAAAACTTACTTGTGTGGGTTTTTTTCCCTTAAAGAAATGAGAACTTTTAATAATATCCTAAAAGGAAAACTATCAACTGAAAATAGATGGTGGTCCTATAGAAATAAGTGTTTTAATATGATTTCTGTGTCATTTTTTCCACTCTTCTAAAAACTCAAGGACAAGAAAAAGAAATATGAACCTCCTGTGCCAACTAGAGTGGGGAAAAAGAAGAAGAAAACAAAGGGACCAGATGCTGCCAGCAAACTGCCACTGGGTAATGCCCTGGTTCCTTGCTGTCTTTCTGACCCCAGGGGTGTCATCTCTGTTTATGCACCTTAGAGGTGTGGCGTGGAGGCAGAAATAAGGGGTGTTTAAAGCTCTTTCTCTATGACTAGTCTTCCTAGTTCTCAGGAGCAGCGTTTCTCTAGGTTGAAATAAAAGCTGTATTTCATTTTTACAATATACTCCATCAATTGCCACGTCTTCTAGTATATTCTAAGTACAGCTTTAGATTAGAAAACTCAGGTTCAGCTTGAGTAACTTAGAAACACATTTATTTCATAAAGAAGTGGAATGCCACTGTATTGGAATTCACATTATGCCGTGTCTGAGTGTAAACTTGACTTCCTGTTGAATGTAGACTAAAACTCAAAATGGGTGACCTGCACCAGCCTACCTCCCCATCCTCAGCCCAGCTGCTCCCCTGCTCATCTGTCACACTGGCCTACTGCAGGCTCCTGCCCGCTCATCAAGGCAAGCTCTTTGCTTCCTTCTGCTTAAAAGGGTCCTTCCTTCCATCTTCCTCCCGACTGCCTGCTTCACATCCCTTCAGGCTTTCAGATACTTCCAGATACAGCTCAAATGTCCACCTCACACTCATCTAAACAAGTCCCTTCCTGTTTAAATGAAATAATTTTTAAAACACTGCTTGGTTAAGAATGGAGTCAGACTGTGGGAAATGTCCTATCTACAATGACTGATGAAAATCTGCAATAATCAATATGGCACAGGCAGAGACTAGATCATCAGCGTGCCAAAAAAACGTAGAAAGTCCCAAAACAAAGTCAAGTTACATGGATAATTAATACAAGGTAAAGGTGGCATTTCATTCTGTAGAAGATGAGTTATTTAATATAAATGACAGGTACCCTTTATGTGCTATTCAGAGAAAATTAGAACAGCTTTTTGCCAGATGGATTACAGCTAACACAAGAGAAAATAAGTAAATAAATGAAAATTCAGGAATATATTTCTTAAAAGTTAAGGGGAAGGGGTCAAACATAGAAACCAGGATAGAATGATTTGTCTGTGTAAATGTTAAAATTCTTGTGTAGAATAAGACTTCACGCCATAAGAACAACAGTGTGGAGAATGCCACACAAGTTAGTATCATCTATGGGGAAAAATAAACCAAAGCACAATTTTTTGTGTCAGTGACTTCTTTGTATGGACAGACAGTTCAGATGGTATGTGTTGATTTGTATTAGCTGTCTGGTCATGGACCCCAACTTCAGTCTTCACCTGCGTGCTTATAACTTCCCCCTTTCTAGTTAGGTACCTCCTACCTTGAGATCACCAAACATTGAATTTCTCACTTTGTCCAACTAAATTAAGCTTAATTTTTAAGTCCTTTTTCCCTTAAAAAAAAAAAAAATCAACTGCAAATATCAAGCTCCAAAAAGTAACAAAACTTTATTTTTCAATTACAGTGACACCTCACACTCAGTGCCGATTAAAATTATTGAAGTTAGAGAGAATTAAAGACTATCTCCTGATGGAGGAAGAATTCATTAGAAATCAGGAACAAATGAAGCCTTTAGAAGAAAAACAAGAGGTAAACCGAGAACTATTATTTTAGCTTTCATTTTCACAAAATCTTACAACCTCAAGCTGTCAGTAAATATATGAAATTTGTTAGTTGAACCTTTCAGACTAAACGAGTCATTACTAGCTTCCTTTTAAAAACACCAGCTGTTCTGTAAATCTAGCACATCAGTGTTTACCTACTTGTTACTTTCCTTCTCGGCATACCCTTACATAGGAGGAAAGATCAAAGGTGGATGATCTGAGGGGCACCCCAATGTCAGTAGGAACCTTGGAAGAGATCATAGATGACAATCACGCCATCGTGTCTACATCTGTGGGCTCAGAACACTACGTCAGCATTCTCTCATTTGTAGATAAGGATCTGCTAGAACCGGGCTGCTCAGTCCTGCTCAACCACAAGGTAAGTTGATGGTCTCTGAGAAAGCCCCTAGCAGGGCTTTTCTCCTCTCTTCTAGATCTGTCCACCTGTCCTATGGAAATAAGTGGCCAGAGAATTTAGAGGATTCTGTGATTGGCACTGCTTTGTTGTACATGGATTGTGTGAACCCCATGTTCCTGTGTTAAAGTTTAATGTTCCCTGATAGGTGCATGCTGTGATAGGGGTGCTGATGGATGACACGGATCCACTGGTCACAGTGATGAAGGTGGAAAAGGCCCCCCAAGAGACCTATGCTGATATTGGGGGGTTGGACAACCAAATCCAGGAAATTAAGGTGTGTCTGGGAATGAGCTTTGGGTTTTTATATTTTGTTTTTTTTTTACTGTTATCTCATTTAGGATGCCTGGAGTTGTTTTAGATGTTTTTCTCTTTATTGGTCAGATCAGTAACTCTGTCATTTGGAGTGTTTGAATTTGTTGCTACTGAATTAGACAATAGAAATAACAGTTGTATAACAGTCTGCTGCTGTCTGCTTGATACTTTTTATCTGTAGTGTTTAATAATTGTGTGAGCAGATGTTTCCAATTGTGTTGACTTCAGCTGCTGCTGTCTGTAAACTTCCAGTGATAAGGGGCAGTGGGACACGCCTCCCTGTACCATGTCCTAGATGCCACAGGCCCTGCCCAGCTGCAGTCCGAGGGGCTGGGGAAAGTGATGTTCAGGATGCTGTGGGCAGCTCTGCACAGTTATTTCTTTGTAGGGACATGATTAAGAACGGTCCTAGATCTCTGCTGGAGAGCTGGGAAGTAGCCTTCGTGCCCTCCTAGGTGGTGACAATGATCAGAAAAAATTTCAAGGTCCTGTCTGTAGTATAATTGAAAAGGGTGAATTTTAGCTTTTTGGGAGGGAACATTTTTTTAAGAACTTTTTTTTTTAAGATTTATTTATTTATACAAGAACTGGGGTACAGGCCAGATGCGCGGGAGGGTGAGAGGATTCACCAGACACAGCGTGGGGAGCAGAACAGGCAGACTGATGAAACACTGCTGAGGGGAGCAGCAGGCAAGACAGGAGAGGTCTGCTGCACCATGTGGGACCCTCCGCGGCCAGCCAAGATCGAACTGGCGCTGCAGAGGCCGCGGACAGCTTCATAGCACTGCACTCAACTGCCTGTGCCATGAGGGGAGGCCCAAGAACTTTTTTTTAAAAAGATTTATTTTAATTATGCATACAAGAGCTGGGATACAGGCCAGAGGCCTGGTGGGGGTGGGGATTCACCAGAGACTGGGGAGCCGAACAGGCAGATCTACTGAAATACATTGCTGAGGAGAGCAGCAGGCAAGACGGGGGAGGTTTATGGCACCATGTGGGTCATCTCCCTGGCCGGGTTTCAAGCTTGCTTCGTAGTGCTGAGATTTAACCCCTTGCGCCACCAGGGAGACCCCCGAATTTTAGCTTTCTGAAGTTGGTTTTGCTCAAGAAGAGCTATAGTAGATGTCTGGGAAGTCTGACTACTACTGGAAAATGAGGGAAACTGTATGGTGAGAAAGAAGACATGGGTGCTCAAGTAGGACAAACGTCCTTGCTGCTGGTTGAAATCAAGCACATTGTCTCTAATGAATCATTAAAGTTTAACTTACTTTGTTTAAAGTGAGATATACTCAACGCCAGTTAATAATGGTGCTGCTAATTTCAGTTAAGAAAACCTTTCATTTTTACTACTTGTGTTCTGTAGGAATCTGTAGAGCTTCCTCTCACTCATCCTGAATATTATGAAGAGATGGGTATAAAACCCCCTAAGGGGGTCATTCTCTATGGTCCACCTGGCACAGGTATGTATGTTTTATGTTGGACGCTTTCTGGGTATTCAGCTCGTTATAACTACTGATCTTTTGAGAGTGAGGGTGCCAAAATTTCCTTAAAACAGAGTGCTCAAAGCTACATATGGGACATTTTTGAATAAGCAACTCATCTAGAAACATAACTGTTACCCAAAAGTATGTTTATCTGTGTAATAGAGGAACTAAGTAACCTGACTGTCTTGGACTTGAAATTGTAGACATCAGCTAATATGTTAAAATGGTAGTAGTGATTGCAATAAAAAGAAAGCACCAGTGGACTCCTCCTCCCACTCCCATGCAGATTGTTCAGTGTGAACACATTTACAGTTCAAGAACTTCTCTACTATGTTCAATCAAATACTAGATTAATAGGTTATAAAACAAGATTTTCAATTATTTGTGAGTAATGTGAGCCTATTAAGAATAACTTGTAAGGAAAGGTAAGACTGGGTATTCAGTCTTGGCTGTATATTGGAATCCCCTTGGGAGCTTAAAAATAAAAATTGATTCCTGGTTCTTTCCCTGAAGGTTCTCTGCAGTATGGCCAAGCATGAGAGCCATGATGGAGAGCCATTGATTTAACAGCTATTTTGTGGTGTTTAGATTAAGTTCATTCTCTTGGTCCATTAGTACTGAATATAACAGTAGATAAAGATAAAACCCACATGTACTTGGTTCACTGTGTAGTAAGCTGTCCTGAGTTGTACAGTCCAGGACTTAGTAATTCATTGCCATGTCAATTCCAAAGGAAAAGGGTTGATTGTTTGAATGACTTCAAAGTGTGCAGGAATCTGTGCTGAGCACTACCACTGGAGGCCCAAGGTAACAGCTGTAGGCAGCCTTGGAGCTGCTACAGTCTGTCATTCTACAACTCGGGAGAATGCATTTCGAGAGGCAGTGACCTGCCCAAGGCCCAGTAGCTCTGAGGCTGAGCTCAGAGTAGGCCTGGAGCAGGAATACAGGCCTCCTGCCTGCAGCCCAATGTCCTCTCTGGGGCCTGTGCACTGTGAGGAGCTGGGATGTGGCAGAGGAGGAAGTGTTAAATCTCTGGCCATTGAAGCATCCTAGCAGCTCGACTGTAAGATCCTGTCCACTTAGGAAGTTCCTTTTTGTCCTTTGCCACCCTAATTGATGTTCTCGAATAGTCCAGCTTTCTAATAAGCCTCTGTACCTGCTACCCTGCCTGCCTGACTAAAGGGAGCACTACTGTCACATGTTCCATCAAGTTTTCTGTGACACTCACCAGCTGGCCTCCCCCTACTCCTCAAACCCAGAGCTTTTTACCAGCTCTGCCTCTCTCTCCTGAGGTGAGTGCACAGAGCTCACTGTCAATGGGACTAAAGGTTTTCTAGCTCTTAACATTCTCATAATGCTCTTTGCTGATTTGTTTTTGATCTGAAAGAGAAATATCAGAAACTAGAGCAAGACTGGAAATGAATGAGGTCTTCCCTGAGATGGGTGAGAATTTCCTCCTAAGGGCCACACCACAGACTATGTTCCTTCAGGTCAAACCTGGAATTCCCAGACCATTATCACTGAGCGCTTCATAGAAATGTAGTTTGGTTCTCTAATCCTGGGATGAATGGGTTAGGCTAATAGATGCAACTTGGAATAACCAATGAAAAGGATCCTCTGTCATTACGATGATGAAAATAGTTAAAAATGACCAAAACGTCATCTAGTAGGTATTTTTAAAAATTTCCTCTTACCTACTTTGGAGTATGTCAAGACGCCTGGATGGTGGCTCCTTTCTATCTCTGAGGTCTGCCCACCGTCGATGTCCACTTAAAGTAGTAACAGAGTTTTTAAGTTTAAAAGTTTTTTTTGTTTTTTCTTTAAAATAGGTAAAACCTTATTAGCCAAAGCAGTAGCAAACCAAACCTCGGCCACTTTCTTGAGAGTGGTTGGCTCAGAACTTATCCAGAAGTACCTAGGCGATGGGCCTAAACTCGTACGGGAACTGTTCAGAGTTGCTGAAGAACACGCACCATCCATCGTGTTTATTGATGAAATTGATGCCATTGGCACAAAAAGGTAACCTTTCTCTCACCTTTTTGGCAGTGCTTAGAGGCAAGAACCATGTAGCTTTTCCTTCCCCGCTGGGCTGCACAGTTCCTGCTGTGTGTGCTCTCTGGATGCTTGAGGCTCTGTTTTCCCAAGTGCCAGGTTCTAACTGTCCAGGAACTGGGAACTGGACTGCCTGGAGACTGCTCCGAGCCAGGCACCATTGGGACCCGGGGGCCCCAGCCATGATCACAGTCTCTGCCCTTGAGGTGCTGACAGTCGGGTTAGGGGATCATGCCCCAAACGTGGAGACAGAATAGGTAATTGTAAATTGCCACAAAGCAAATACTGTGAAAATAACTTGGCCAGTCAGGATGGATTGCTGCTGATTTTTATGCTAGAATAATTGAGGGAGTGACACTCAGTTGAGACCAGAATGTTGAAGGAGATTAGTTTAACTTCATTCCTTTTCATCATTTCTAAAGATATGACTCAAATTCTGGTGGTGAGAGAGAAATTCAGCGAACAATGTTGGAACTGTTGAACCAGCTGGATGGGTTTGATTCAAGGGGCGATGTGAAAGTTATCATGGCCACAAACCGGATAGAGACTTTGGATCCAGCACTTATCAGACCAGGTAAGGTTCGCGTCTGTCTCATTGTGGAGCATTAGGTGTCCTAAGCTTGATATGTCCTTTTCCACTAAAAATGCCATTCCGGGACCAATCTTTTCTTTTGTTTCAGAAGGTACAGAGCAAAGGATTTCCTTTAAATGGGATGAAGTTAGTATAGAAAATGACAAACTATAGAAACAAACGTGAGCTTGTCACAATTTGGGCATTCTTCCCACAGGACACTTGTCTGGCTGAAATTGCAGTGTGAGCTAAGGCCTCTCTCTGGGGGTATGACTGAAACCCTTTTGTACCTGCAGGCCGCATTGACAGGAAGATTGAGTTCCCCCTGCCCGATGAAAAGACTAAGAAGCGCATCTTTCAGATTCACACAAGCCGGATGACACTGGCTGATGACGTCACCCTGGACGACTTGATCATGGCTAAAGATGACCTCTCTGGTGCCGACATCAAGGTGAGAACCTGAGCTGGTTGGGCCCTATCAGTTGGGAGATAGTGTGTGCTTTTGGGGTGATAGTTAAGCACGGTATGTGCTGTCTGGGTTTTAGCTTTGTAATTGTCAGGTCACCTTTCCTTATGCTCAAATAGGAGATTCACTTTTGAAGTATTTTAGGAAATAAATGACCCTAAGTCACCTATGGTCACAAGCATAAATCTCTGGCACTATGTTTACTGCAGCCTCTTCTAGGCCCAGGTTACTCTGTGAGGGGTGTCAGAGATAGCTGCTCGGGCCCAGGTGGGGAGGTGGTATTGGCTGGAAGAGCTCACCTCTGAGCCACAGGGCAAGCACCTACACCTCTGCGTTCAGGCCCCAGTTTGTACCTCTTGGCTTTTTCCCGTGTATGAGTTAGGATATGACCAGTGAGGCTTAGGCGGTGCATCTGGATACCACCTGCTCCTCTTGGGAGTGCCTAGTTTCTCAGGGATAAATGCCAAGGTCGGCAGAGACGGCGCACGTGCGGCCTGTCCATGCCGACACCTGTGCTGAAGTGAGGCATCGCCTTTCTGCTGGGCCATTTGAAATCGGCGTCCTGGCGGCGGCAGTGAGAGGGCTTCAGTGCCAGGACTCATGACTCTGTTCCATGGGGTTTTGCTTTTAGTATTAGCACAGTACTGTATGGTCTCTCAGGACTGTAGAAATAGACTCTAGATTGCCTTTAACTTCCCAGGTATGATTTCATCTGTTTTCCTAGGAATATTTACTACTCGAACAAATGCAGGGCTGTGAGAACGCACTGGCTGGGCCACACAACTGGTTGGAACCCAAAGCCTCTATTCTGGGCCAGTCCTCTTCCTTAGTTACTCCAGCTTAAGGCACCTCCGATCCTTGGAGAAAATAATTAGGATGCTTGAAATTCAACATTTAATATTTTCCCAGACGGCTTGAACACTGTGTTTCCAGTCTGGGTGTCTTATATCTTATTTCAGAATAGCTCTCTCTGAATTATTTGTTAGACTAAAAATAAAAAGTATTTGATTCTGAACATACTGTTCTTTCTTACAGGCAATCTGTACTGAAGCTGGTCTGATGGCCTTGAGAGAACGCAGAATGAAAGTAACAAATGAAGATTTCAAAAAATCTAAAGAAAATGTTCTTTATAAAAAACAAGAAGGCACCCCCGAGGGGCTCTATCTCTAGCCAGTCAGAGTTGCCTGTCAGGGGAGTGTGCTGACCCCTTGAGGGATGAGGTTGGGGAAGTTGCCCAAAGGAATCCACGTTCCACTTGAATCTTGATTAGCAGACGTCCTGTGTACCTTCTTGAGCATGGTGTGTAGTGTGCCCACCGGGCTGCTTCCGTCTGTCGGTCACATGCAGTGCTCTCGCAATAAATTGTGCTTTTTCTCAACACCTCCACCTGTTTCTGGAGCCTTCTCACCTGCCACTCAGCAGCAGCAAGTGGGCAGGTCAGGTGCTAGGAAGCTTCTGGGCAATTACCAAGTGCAGACTTCAGTCCCTGTTGCCCTACATCACACCCCTAGCGCTGTGGTGGACACACACAAAAGCAGCTAAGGAAAAGCAGGGCATAGCTGGTGGTCTTTGTTATTCAGGCAACAAAGCTTGGTTCATGTGGCTTCAGAAGGAGGAAATACAGCTTTTCGTTTGAAGTTTTAGGCACAGCTTGGGGGGTCTCAGCACTCTGGGAACAAGAAAAGCAAGCACGGGTGTTGCACGAGGCTGAAGTTCCTAAGAGATATCTGAAAGGTTAGGGCCGAAGAACCTGGCTTGCCTGCCCTTGTTGGGTTCAGAAACCTCATCCTTCTCAAGCGCGTTCAAGACTGAGCCTCCCCTTCCCTTTCTCCATTTCCTTCCCTGTGTCGTCCTTTCCCGGTAGTCCGTCTGAAAGCCATGGATCTAGGCTGTGTCTGCTTGCCTGGCTGGCCGCCAGGGTGGGCTGAGACTGCTCTAGAAAGTGCTCTGTGCTGCTCTTTCCCAACCACTGTCATCGGTTTCTAGCCAGAGATCCCCATGATACTGGCTTTTCTGGACAAGGCACCAAAGAAATATGTAAATTTCTAGAGATCATGATTTGCTTCTAAAAGCATGGTAGCTGTCCAGTTTTTAAAGACCAGAACCGTCAGAAGACAATGGTTGTGAAGAAATTGCTTTAACAATGAAAATGACTGCAGGGCACGAAAATCTTTTCGAAGAAAGTGGTCTGAATATAGATATTTACACTACATTCCATTCACAGCCCTCGGAAATCAAGAATGTGGCCCATCTGGACCTTTTTATTTCAAGCACACCAGGGCCAAGCAGACCTTCAGCACACAGGGCTGGGCTTGGTAGGAAGGCGCTGGCTCCAGGCTCCGCTTTACTCTGAGAGGGGGTCCCGGCAAGCTGCCCTGTAGCAGAGCCCTTTTTTCTTCAGTGCTTTCCATACTGGAATGTGCACACAAGTCCCAGGGAGTCCTGACCTAGGGCAGACTCTGCCTCAGCCAGGCAGGGCCAGCCCTGCATTCCTAACAAGCCCCCAGGGACACTCCTGGTCCGCAGATGGAGGGGTCACCAAGTAGTAGGTCTTGGGGAGTAATGATATGCTCAACACAGGTCAGATGACCAGTTTTAAGTGACTGACTCCCCACTGCTCTGAAGATAGGGGGAAATGTTACCTTAAGCAGCCCAGGGAGGAGGTCCTAGTGCTGAGTAAGTCCAAACTGATCTCAGACCTCAACTGGAGACCCCGAGGATATGCGGGACGCCAAGAAGCGACGGAGTGGGTGTGTTCACCATGGCAGGCGCGCTGACTGGGCAGAGGAACGGGAACAAATGAGCTGACACGAGCCACTGTCGATTAATTTCATCTCTATGTACATACATATACATGTTCACATATATAATATGCAATAAGCCGCGTTTGTGTCCCGTACACACAGACAACGCCTAAGGTGAGACTGCTAACCCAGGACACAAATGGTCAGGAAAGGAGCTTCCACAGCAGAGTTCAACACAGGCTAGCACAGGTGTCACCTGTCTCCTGCATGTTGGCTCCGCCGCGGCCTCAGTGGCGTGGCCCTAGTCCTCAAGCAGAAGCTCCAGCTCCTCCACTGGCAGGCGCACCCGTAGCTCCTTCTCGGTCATCAGGTCCAGGATCTCCTGCATCTCGTCAGGGAAGTGCTCCACAGCGTCCATGTACAACACCTGGGCGAGAGCACCGCCAGCCTCGTCAGCCAGCTGCCCCCCTCCTGCCCCGACTCAGCAGCCAGGCTTGCTGCAGGAACGACACTGGACTCACAGGGTACAAGTAAGCACCTCAGAGCTGAGGCCACCTCGCCAAAGTGGTGGCAGGCATGACAGTCACCACCAGTTTGAGTTCCAAACTGATCTGGGCTCTGCCAAGTAGGGTTGGCTAAACACTGGGCAAATGTTGGGAACACTGCCCACAGCAAGGCCCCTGTTGAGACTAGCTCTGTGCAGGGAGGGGGTGTGCCCCGCCCCCAGTGACACAGGGACAGGCAGACACTGGGTGGACTGAGGCTTGGCAGGAAGCACCGTGGGAATCTTAAGACATTGGAACTCACCTTTGCCCAGGGACAATTCTGAAGCGCTTTGTAGAACACACCTTTGCTTCTTTCTTTATTTCCTAAGGAAACCTGCAGTGAGGGGATAAAAGGCAGAAGTGAGCTGAAAGCTAAGGGAAGGCTAAGGCTCTAAGAGCCACCATGCACTGATCCACACGAGGGCAGTCCACGTGGGCACATCACCTGCTTGTGGGGCCTGGGTGCGCGCACCACGGTGAGCTCGCAGGGGCCCCTGCTGTGTTGCACCAGTTCCCCTCCACTGACAGGCCATGGTGACCTTTACCACTTCTCTATCCCCCATGTCTCTGGTACTGACAGTACCCGAGCAAGGCCATTAGCGGTAGAAATACGTGTTTAAACACTTGCAATTTCTAAAAACTCAGAATTGCAGAATTGCTCGGAACTGCTGAAGCAGTAACCTTATTAAACATACATTTGTGGCCAGGAATCTTAGTCTGAGGGTGCGCAGACGTTCAGCAGGTTGTCTCTAGTATAAAATCACACCCGCTGTGAAGCTGCAGTGGCATGGGGGTGTCCCCTGGGGTCTCCTGCAGGCCCCGGCAAGGGTATCTGTCACTGGCTGGCAGTTCTTCCAGGGAACCACAGCCCACTGGGCAGCTCCAGGTTGGTGGCATCTGCCCTGCTGTGAATGGGCACAAGGGGAGTTCATGAGGCTGAAGTCTGTTTCTAGCCTGTTCCCAGACTCCCCCGAGTCTCCCAGTAGAAGCCAGCTCCTCCCGCCAGGGGGCAGGTGCAGTGTCCAGATGTCAGCTCTGCTGCTCATGGCCTCCCCCCTTCCAGTACTTTCAGACTCATGCAAAAATTTAACCTTGAATTTAACAAAATGAAAATCACTGATGACCTGAATAAAAATATTTCAGTGGAGAAAAAAAATTCTGACTTTCACAGTCATCAAGACTGACCTTGGGCTGTACCAGGCATCTTGCTACAGGCAAGGCTTAGGCCTTCCCCATTCCCTCTAAGCTGAGCCCACCGTGAGCCAGGGGACTTGACCTTCCCTCCTGGTGTGAGCCTCAGCCATCCTGATGCCAGTCCTCTGACCTGATACCCAAGGAACCAGTGTGAACGCCACCTTCCTTTGCCAAAATACTTCAATGTCCTAAGACAGATTCAACTTTCTTCCTAATTTCAAATAAACACTGAACACTGTCCTTCTCAACCACTGCATTTATGAGTCTCACAGATAATCCTGGAGCCCAGCAAGCCCAGGTACCTAAGCTGGCTGGCCTCAACTGAGAACTCTGCAATGTCCCTCATCCAACCAGAGCTGCCTCTGCTACACCAGGTGCAACCTTGACCTTAACTGTTGCTTTCTTCCATTCAAGATCTCATGTTTTAAGTCACACCTGTCATCTTTTCCCTCTCACTACAGCAGTGCTTCAAACAGGAAGAACAGCTCATGAGTGTTACCCTGGCACACAGCCTGTCCTCCTTCCTCATCTTCTAATTCCCTCACTTTAAGAAACCATGATTCTGGGCCTCCCCGGTGGCGCCAGGGGTTAAGCACAGCACTGTGAAGCTATCCGTAGACTGGAGCACAAGTTTGATCCCCAGCCGGCCAGGGAGCTACCCACATGGCACGGCAGGCCTCTCCTGTCTTGTCCGCTGCTCCCCTCAGCAGTGTATTTCGGTCAGTCTGCCTGTTCTGTGCCCCACTCTGTCTCTGGTGAATCCTCTCACCACCATCCCCCCACTCTGACCTGTCCCCCAGCTCTTGTATGCATAAATAAATAAATCTTTTTTTAAAGGGTTTTATTTATTTTGTATGCATAATCTTTTTTTAAAAAAGATTTTATTTATTCATGCATATAAGAACTGGGGCACAGACCAGATGTGCGGGAGGGTGAGAGGATTCACCAGAGACAAAGTGGGGAGCAGAACAGGCAGACTGACCGAAATACACTGCTGAGGGGAGCAGTGGGCGAGACAGGAGAGGTCTGCCATACCATGTGGGATTCTCACCAGCCGGCTGGGATCAAACCGGCGCTGCAGAAGCTGTGGACAGCTTTACCGCACTGCGCTCAAGGGCCTATGCCACCAGGAGAGGCCCCAAATAAATCAATCTTTAAAAAAAAAAAAAAAGAAACCATGATTCCTTGTAAAAGTCCTAAATCAGAGCAGAAATAAAACCAATTCCACAGCATACCCGTCTCTCCCCTAGCGTGGTGACTGGGTAAGCCTGTCTCCTCAGGCAGACAGGGAACATCTCAGCAGAACCGAGAGGACACAGCGAGAAGGAGCAGAGCTGCCAGCATCCCTCTCCAGGTGAACCTCTAACTGCACCAAAGGCCATTTCCAGAGTGAAGTGGGAGCTGAGATTGACACTAAGGCCACCTTTTTGTCACACTGAGCCCCGGAAACTGAGCAAACAAGACCCACCTGAACACAGGCGCAAGTCTCTGGAAAGGCCTCAGGTTCCAGGCCTCTGCCCAGACCAACCGCCCAGGGACTGCTCCTCGCCTGCTCCTACTACATCCCAAGTGAAAAGGCAGCTTGTGAGCCTCTCCCGAGTGCCGAGAGCCATGTGTTATTCCTGCAGGGTTCTGAAAAGGACTAACCAGAGCCAAGAAGGTGTGAGGGTGAAAACAGTCCCTCCCAGCTTTCGCCAACGCACACCTGCACGTTCTCACTCTGAAGGAAGAGCAAGTCTCCACCAGAACTTACCAAAAAATTCAGGTACATCCTCCACAGCAGGGGGCACTGGCTGGCATGCTCGCTCCGCATGGCGTTTTCAAACAGGCCTCGGATCCGGTGTGTTAGGCCGGTCTCGGGAATTGTGGCATAGACCTCTTTACCATCGACCCTGCAAGACAAGGCTTGGTTAGCCTTGAGACACGTTCTCGCACCTTCCGTCACAGGAGAGACACACATCAGGGATGACAAATGTCAGAGACGGCTGGATCAGAGCACGCCAGGGGCTGAAAGGTCAGGGCGGGGGTATGGCGTGCAGGCGTGATGTGATGCCTGAGGGTCGGGAGGCAGCGTGCAGGGCTCCGGCTTCTGTACCTCGCTGAGTCTGCCTGGGCGTCACACACACATACTTTGTGTCTGTTGTCTTTTAAAAAATAACCTACTCTCTAAAGCTTCAGAACGCAAAAATCTACCTCCATGGGAAGAAAAGAGCTTTCGTTTTAAGGTAGGAATAGTAAGACTCATATTCAAAAAGAGTGAAATACCATTCAGAGACCATTCTGCCCTAGCAATTAATTCAACGAGAAGCGACAGCGAAGATTCCAGAAGGAACAAAGCGATGCCTAAGTGAGTGATGTTCCCCAGACTCTCCTGTAACCGAGATACAAAAATGCATCCAAAGGTGACTTTTAAAACCGGACACGGGTCACCAGTAGTAACACTCAGGCTGGTAATTCTGCTCTCAGGCCTATGCGCTTCCCTTCCTCACCGCTCCAAGCAGCCCTGGGAGGGGCTGGTCATTCCATTTCACAGAAGGGGAACCCACAGGCGCGCTGGGTCATGTGTCCAGACACTCACAGCTGGTGAGTGAAGATCTGGGATTGGGATCCAGACTCCACCCCTGGAGCCTGTGCTCTGACCACTGTGCTTTCACGACAGCTGCTGAGCTCCCGGGCGGCCTGACAGTCACCACCTCGGGACCATAAGCAATGCTCAGGACCCCAGAAAGCGTGGCCTTGGGGACACAGCCACGAGGCCCCTGCTCAGAGCTGCTGCTACCCTGCATGTCCCCGGTGCTCTTTCAAGATGCTATCACACACCCCCAGGCCGCTGTTCCCGGCACCGGACCCCGCGTGTCCCACAGTCCTTAGGCGGAGCAGGATGGGGGGGAACAGGGTTTCCTTTAGGGAAAAGTCCGTGGACACCGAACCACCTGTGATTACCTCTGAACCGTTTCCACCAGTCTTTTCCTCATTTTCTCGGCTTCAATAGCAAACAACCACGGCTCCAAGGGTTTGGCAGACCTGATGATGGCATCAAAGAATCTTCTGGTCTTACTGGCACTGTGGGACTTATTTTGAATCTGTACATAAGACCTCCAAAGAAGCTGGTTGTCCGGATACAACTTTAAAGCCTCTGAGAGCGCCTCACGCAGCGGCGCCAGCGGGTACACGCTGACGGTCATGTGGAAGCGGAGCAGGCTCGTGTGCAGCAGCGTGAGGGGTTCCAGGTCACGGCTTAGACTCGGGGGGCTGGCACTCGCCACCAGGTCACGGTCTTCGGGGGAAACTGAGTCCTTCAGTTTGGCAAACACTTGCTCATACACACGCACAGCAGCATCTATGCCTACGGTCAAATACTGGAAGAGCATAAAGCACTTGGCCACACTAACTAGGCGGCTAGAGGAGCTGCTGGGAGCGGGATCGGAGCCACTGGGTGCCGGGTCGGAGCTGCAGGGAGCCGGGTCAGAGGCAGAGCCCTCGCCCAGACAGTCCTGCAGTGCGTGCTCGTAAGCCTTCCGGGCTTTCAAAATGTGCACGGCCATGACCTGGCCGGCGTAGGACCCGTAGGGGCCGCTCTCCGTCAGCCTGGTCAGTATGTGGACAGCTCGGGCCGTGGCGGCCCTGCCTGCGTCGGGCAGCAGCTCCGCCTCCAGCTCCGCGTAGAGGAGACTGAGCTCAGCGAGCTCGCAGTCCTTCAGCCCTCTGCCCCCCGCCAGGCTGAGCGCTGTGTCAAAAACTTTCCTGGCATCCTCTGTGTTGCCCAGCAACCACTCCAGATGTGCGTACTGCTTCCAGAGGCAAAAATTGTTACGATTTTCTGGCTCCTTAAGGAGATTCTTGGCTAGTTTTTTGCAGTTCTTTCCTTGTGACTTTAATCTCTTCTTGTTTTTAGTGCGCAGGCACCAAACGACCTGGAGGGAAGGAGGAAAGAATGACGCCAGCTGCTCTCATCTTACTGGAGCCCCGTCACACTGTCAACTCTGGAAGGCCCCCAAGCACCGACATGTCTTTCCTCTGGCACGTCTGGTGAACACGGGGGCTCTGAGCTGGGAAACACATCAGGGCTTTGCCAAGAACACAAGCGTCCCCAAATGAACACACCCAGGTTTCCACCTGCTACTAGACTCCAAATTCCTCTCTGACGACAGGGGCCCCGGGCTCCTGAGACACCACCGCCATGACACGACCCGCGTGTGCAACGTGTCATGGCGCGGCCAGAACTTTGCGGGTTAGAGTCAATATGAACTGCTGAGGGCAGAACAGTTAGCAGGGGGCAGAACAGTCGATCCTAGATGGTTTCCAGCAGATGGATCTAAAGAGCAGGCTAAGTAGCTTATTTTACCTGTCTTAATAAGCCCCGAATCCTCTAACCCTGCCGAAGCTTAAGCTCAGTTCTTAACACTGACAGCTCACGCAACCACAGACGGCGGGCGACACAAATTCAACAATATCAACAGTTAAAGGCGTCAAGGAGAGGGGCTCACTCCTGCTCTCCTCCCCCTGCTCTCCCCCTCCCCCTGCGCTTTCTCCCCCATCTTCTCCTCCTCCTCCTCCTCCTCCCCCTGCCCTCCTCCTCCTCCCTCTGCCCTCCTCCTCCTCCCCCTGCCCTCCTCCTCCTCCTCCTGCCCTCCTCCTCCTCCCCCTACCCTCCTCCTCCTCCCCCTGCTCTCCTCCTCCTCCCCTCTGCCCTCCTCCTCCCCCTGCCCTCCTCCTCCCCTGCTCTCCTCCTCCCCCTGCTCTCCTCCTCCTCCCCCTGCCCTCCTCCTCCCCCTGCTCTCCTCCTCCTCCCCTGCCCCCTCCTCCCCCTGCCCTCCTCCTCCTCCCCCTGCCCTCCTCCTCCTCCCCCTGCTCTCCTCCTCCTCCCCCTGCTCTCCTCCTCCTCCCCCTGCTCTCCTCCTCCCCCTGCTCTCCTCCTCCTTCCCCTGCTCTCCTCCTCCTCCCCCTGCTCTCCTCCTCCTCCCCCTGCTCTCCTCCTCCTCCCCCTGCTCTCCTCCTCCCTCCCCTCTGCTCTCCTCCTCCCCCTGCCCTCCTCCTCCTCCCCCTGCCCTCCTCCTCCTCCCCTCTGCCCTCCTCCTCCTCCCCTCTGCTCTCCTCCTCCTCCCCCTACCCTCCTCCTCCTCCCCCCTGCTCTCCGCCTGCTCCCCCCTGCTCTCCTCCTCTTCCTCCTCCCCTTGCTTTCCTCCTCCTCCCGCCCTGCTCTCATCTTTCCCCGCCCTCTCCCTCTGCTCTCCTCCTCCTCCTCCTGCTCCCCCTGAGCCATTCACAAAGAGCAGCCACACACCAGGAGAATTTCGGGCCCCTGAAGGAGGTGATGCTGTGGCCAGTCCCCCGAGGAGCCCTAAGGCCCGCAAGCCCATTTACAAGCACTGACACGATCAGTCAGGAAAAAGGCGGCCGCAGTTACCTTTGCAAGCTCGTACCGCAACCAGGAGAAACAGAGCTGAGAACTCTCTCTGCCTGAAAACAAAGGCATCACAAGGTGGAAGAGGTTGCGGATGAACTCCTCGCCTTCTCGATTGTGACCCCTGGTCCAGCGCCGGCAGCCCAGTGGGTCCGTGCGGCCCACACAGCTGACGCCGGAAAACGAAAGGCTGAGAGAAGTCAATGGCTTTTCATCGTAAAGTCCACTATCAAAGATGCTGCTCTCGTCCATGGCCAGATAGAGGCAGGAGGCCGGGGGGCTGAAGCCAGAGGGCACGCCCAGGAACTGTAGGAAGGCCATGACCAGCTGAAACTGCAGATCCCGGCTGCAGAGTCTGATCAGGGATTGTCCAATGTCATCAAACAGCACCTGCAATGCAGACAAAGCAAAGGGACCAATTCAGGAGCTCAGTTTCTTTAATGGAACAAATAAGAAAGCCTTTGTAATTTTTCCCAGTAGGAGTACTAAGAGTCAACACTACTTAACTTAAATTTTAAACAGGCAGGAGCTAGGTTTTTTATGAAATGCAAAAAGGCCCAGGGTCTCCAGGCAAGCTGGAGAGCCCCAGTGCTAAGGGCAGCCTCCCACTTCCCACAGAAAGGAGAGAGAGCAGGATCCTCCTGTATCCACAAAAGATCTAGATTTGTATCCACTTCTGAAAACACACAAAACTGCTTTTGTAGTTACTTTAAGTTTCAGCTGTGAAAATTTAAACTTTAAGATGGAAGATAACTTGACTAATTTGTGGTTTCTTTGTACAAAGTTGTTTCAGGAAATGAAACACATGTTTGAAGACAGATAAAGAGCAACGAGGAAAGAAGTAAACTAGAGAAGCAACGGACCATGTGAAGAGCAATTATAAGAGCCATTACTCGCTGTCTACGTTTGCAGCTGATTTCCCACGATCACTGGGAGCAGGAGGCGGAGAAGCCTGCCCTTTGTCTCGAGGTGCTGTTTATCGGTTGGTTTTTTCTGCACTCATCAGAGAGGAAATCAAAACATGAGCACAATAAAACCAGACCGCCTGGGCCTCCAGCACTAATCAGAAACATCAATTAATCAGAAAGTTCTTCTCCACCAGGCTTTGCTTACACAAAAAAGCTAAGTGACAAATTTCTCATAGCAGTAGGTCTGCTCCAGAAATCAGCTTCCGGGAGACTGCCAGCATTCTGAGCCTGGAGAGCCAACTTCTTTATGAAGGGTCACCACTAACTATTAAAAGCCTCAAACGTGGACCTCCCTGGTGGCACAAGGGGTTAAGTTCAACACTATCAAGCTATCAGCAGCCACTGCAGCACAAGTTCGATCCCTGGCCAGAGAGCTAACCCACATAGCACAGCAGACCTCTCCTGTCTCGCCTGCTGCTCCCCTCAGCAGTGTATTTCAGTCAATCTGCATGTTCTGTTCCCAACTCTGTCTCTGGTGAATCCTCTCACCCCCCACACCTCTGGCCTACTCCCCAGCTCTTTATGCATAAATAAAATAAACCTTAAAAAAAAAAAAAAAAAAAAAAGACAAGCCTCAAACACCCCACTCTTCCCTGAAAGATCAGTTTCAACCAGGAGAAGGAGCTCAGGTGCAGACTCACCTGGCGAGAAACACTTCACTGTTCCGGTTTCCCTAGAAGCTGACCCCTTCTTCCAGCCCTTCTTTCTCTTTTCCAAATTCTCTACCCCCTAATTGTCCCCAAGAAGGTAACCCCTCTTGGGCCTCCCCAGTGGCGCAGCGGTTGAGCACTGGGTTGCGAAGCTGCCCACAGCCTCTGCAGCGCTGGCTCGATCCCCGGCTACTCCCCAGCCACCAGAGGAGGGTCCCACATGGCGCTCAGACCTCTCCTGCCGCCCGCTGCTCCCCTCAGCAGTGTACTTCGGTCCTTCTGCCTGCTCTGCTCCCCGCTCTGGCTCTGGTGAATTCTCTCACCCTCCCGCGCTTCTGACTGTACCCAGTGCTTGTATAAATAAATAAATCTTAAAAAAAAAAAAATTATAAAAAAAAAAAAGAAGGTAACCCCTCTTGCTCCTCCTCAAATGTTCCAGGCTATCTGGGGCCTTCACTTGTGCTCATCCCTCTGCAAGAGCTCCAGCATCAAAGAAGGATTCATCCAACATCCAGGATTGTAAAGTGCGCACTCACCACAGGAGCAGCCTGGTGGAGGCACTGGTGACACCGCAGTGAAGAAAACAGGCAAAAGCCCCACCAGCAGAACAAGCAACTCGAGGGGAGGGTCTCAGACTATAAAGCACACCAACGCCAGCGAGGCTATTGTTGTAAAGAGGGCTCAGTCTGTACCTGTAACACCTACTGAACAGTATGGCTGACCCTGGTGCAACTGGGCCAGTTCCCAGTACTAAAATCAAATCTTACTTCATTTACTGTAAAACTTGCCAAGCTGCTGGCTCCAGAACACAGAGGAGCCTGCGGAAGGCTGGGTAAAAGCCAGAGAACCTAAGTGCTGGGCACACACGGTACTCAATAATCCGGTTCCTTCCCCAGCAAGACGCGCTCTGTACCAAGCATCCCAATATGGCCTCTACATTCAGGCCTTCCTGACTGCCAGTCAGACCTACATATGCACCTTTGAGGATCCAAGAATGGAGGTGGGAAATGGATTTTCCACCCTGAGCTTTCAGGCTTCCACCTGAAAAACTAGCAAAAACCTGGAAGATAGTCTCTGGAGGGTGACCCTGGGAACCAGGCCTCCTGCTCGGGACAGGCACTATCTAGTCAAGTGCATGAGGCTCCCCTGTCACCAGGGGACATGACATTCTACACTGGTATTCAGTGTAATATTCTACACCGGTGTTCTGGACGTTTCCAGAGAAAGGGACAAGAGCAGCAAGCCTCTCCTGGGCCAGGGAAGTGCTCAGAATGCTGGCAACTTTCTGCTGAATAACCAAAATAGGAACAGGGAGAAGGCAAAGACCCCATGGCTGGAGAGCCTCCTGGGGGGGGCACTTGCCTGTCTCTCTGGATCCTCACAGTCTTCCTCAGTCTGCTTCTTGGCTTTATCAGGGCGCCACGGCCGCCAGTGCCTCTGGTCTCGGGACCGCTCAGCTGCGAGCCAGATCTGCCACTTGGGCAGTGTCTTATCTCTGATTTCCTGGTCTTCATCTTCTGGTTCATCGTCATCCTCATCTAGACAAGAATGAAAACTTCAGCTCACCTAAGCAGCAAATGAAATGACCATCGAAACCCATGCCAGCTACTGGGGTGGGCACCTGTTTTGATACGTGGAATGTCAAGATGAGAAGGACCTGTGCCAGTATCTGGGTGCTCAGTGACATATAGGAAATCTCTCCTAATCCATCAAGTAGCCAGGCAAAGAACAGAATGGCTGGTGATTTTTAATGCTATCACAGCAATTAAAATGGAAGTGACACATATTCTAGAACAGCACTGTCCAACTTCTGAAATGATGAAAATGTTCCTGAAACTTTCATCTCATTTCTAATATGGCAGCCACTAGTCATACGTGACTTATTGGGGACTTGAAATGTAGCTAGTAAACAGAATTTTTAAATTTTATTTCATTTAAATTATTTAATTAAAAGGCACGTGTTGTTAGTGGCTACTGTGCTGGACAACTCAGCACTGGAATGCTAAATGACATTTAATGACAGCATTGGTTACCTGTCAGAAATTTTAGCTAGTGCCCTTATACCTATAGTCGCTAGAACTTCTAAAAGAAAAATCAATTCAAGATATTCTCTAATTTTTCCCACTCTGAATGTTCTGCATATTTCTGAATATGCAGAGAGGAAGAAAAGTCTAAATTTTCTGTAAAGTTCAGTATATAAACAGGGTATGTATGATAGAACAGCTACCCAGAAAACAATTTGTCAGTTTCTTTTTTAAAAAAGATTTATTTATTGATGCACACAAGAGCTAGAGTGTAGGCCAGAGGTGCAGGGTGCAGGTGGGGTGAGAGGATTCACCAGAGACAGAGCGGGGAACAGAACAGGCGGATCTACTGAAATACACTGCTGAGGGGAGCAGCAGGCGAGACTGGAGAGGTCTGCTGTGCCATGTGGGTAGCTCCCTGGCTGGGGATCAAACTCGTGCTGCAGTGGCTGCAGACAGCTTCATTGTGCTGCATCTTAACTCCTTGCGCCACCAGGCAGGCCCCCAGGAGTTAGTATTTAATGTCAGTTTCAGTTGGGGAGGATAAAGCTGAGGAGGTAATGTGGTGATGATTGCACAACAGTGTGAGTGGAGTTTGTCACTGAATGGTATACTTAAAGAATGGTAAATTTTATGTATATTTTACAATGAAAACATTTTTGTTAAAAAAAAAATCATTATGCCGTATGATTCCCCTTACGTAACGCTGGTGAACCCACACAGTACTAGAGATGGAGAGCAGATCAGTGGTTCCCAGGGGTGGGTCGGGAGGTGGAGATGACTAGAAAGTTCCAGCATGAGGCCAGGGGGAGGGAGCTGCACATGTGGTAAAACTGCTTGGCACTCGACACACACACATACACACACAATCACAGTGTCCAGCGGACGAGCCTGGACAAGCTCTGCAGACTGGTTGTGACCCTGCAGGGAGGCAGGAGAGGTATGCTGCGCCACGTGGGTCAGCTCCCAGGCCGGGATCAAGATGGAACTCAGGCCATCACAGTGACTGTGCTGGGCTTGACCCCTGTGCCACCAGGAGGCCCCCTATTTTATAGTATTTCTAAAAGACAAATATTTTTCAAAGGCTCTGTTATCTGTACATTGCCAAGGAAAACAAAAGTCTGCCTTAAATACACACTAAAATGGGGAGTGGGGATTAGTAACACTATTATTTCTCTAGGAGCAACCTATAAATGGAAAAATGACTTCCTCGTTAAAGAAATCAAACTGTCATGGCATTTGTACTGAAGAAATGAGGGAGTGGGCTGGCTGCTTTCAAGACTCTAAGGGGAAGAGGCAGTCTATTCTCCCAGTATAGCTGCTTCACAGATTTTTGACATTTTGAAGTCTGCACAATGTTCTTAAGCTACTGATAAACAGCTTATACACACAACAAAGAATCATGGAGAATGGAAAACAAACTCCAGAAGAAAAAGGCACCTGCATCCTACCTGGGAGGGATGCGCCGCCCTCACAGGGCCTTACCTGGAGTGATGATCACCCAGCCACCGCGCTCCTGCTGGTGCATCCACGCTCTCCAGCCTCGGGCACCCTTCTCCCCAGCCCGGGGCTCTCCACTGTCCCAAAAGGGCTCAAAGAATTCCACCTGTACAGGCGGAGAGCTAAAGGTTAGCCGAACCTGCACAAAACTGCTGAGTCACTGGGCAAAGTAAGTGCTGTCAACCTGAAAAGGGCTTATGAGTCTTGATATCTTTCTTGTCATCTGTCTATGTACTTCATAGACACGATACACACCCCAAAACAGATACAGCAACTCTCTAGTCTGTATGACAGCCCCCCAACCCTATGACACTTATAACCTTGAGTGTGAGCTGCACCTAGTTATGTCTAACAAACAGAACGTGGCCAAGGGACTGGAGGACATTTCTGAGATGGGTTATGAAGACCCGCCAAGGTCATCACAAGGGCAGGCTGCTGGACAAGAGTGGAGTGTCTAGCCAGAGACTGTGCTAGTTCCCCTAAAGTCATGTGGTCCCCTAACACCCGAAGTGATGTTGTTTCCAAGATCTTTTTAAAAGAAAGAGGATCAAACTGTAACAGAGACACACTCAGCTCTTACAGGCATAGCTGCCCCGCAACTGTTTCCAACACCTAGCACAGCTGCCTAATTCATTGTAGGGACTCAATAAATGCTTGTTGGCACAAAGCTGAACATGCCATCCACCGACTAAAAAGGTCTGCACCAAGTCCATGATCACACCCTCACCTTCCCTTGCTTGGGCATTAGATCTGCCATGTGTGGTAGCCAGGTCGCTGGCAATAAATAATTCCCTATGGAACAGAACATGAGCACAGAAGTGAACAGAATGTGATCGCGTTACCAACAACAGGAACTTTAAAGTGAGTCAGCAACCTGCTCAGTGAAAGCTTTCATAAAAAACCTGAAGTCAAGCAGGCTTCCAACAGGCATGCTATGGGCCGGGGCCACAGGTCATCCAACCTGACCCCCTGGAGAGCCCCTGCCCACCTAGCACCCACCGGCCGCCTCCGAAGGGGCACCGAGGAGAGCACTTGTCTTCTACAGGTGATGTTCCTGTAAGGGGGGTAGGAAAGCCCACTCCAGAAAAACAAGGGTATTTTTTCTAAAAACATGTGACAAATGGTTATAACCAATTTACTTAGTCACAGAACAGAGCAGTAATACCGGATGGCCTGTTTTTGCCATATGACTTATCTCTGTGGTAAAAGTATCTCTCATTTACAGATACAAAACGTCACTAAACAGCTTTGTTTCAAAGTTTTCAGGTAAATGCCTTAAAATTACATGTGCTGTCAGCATTTTCAAGCCTCCTGACTCAAGGTCCTGAGCAGGGCCCTCCCCTGCATCCCATCAGGAACTGCACTGAGCATGGCAGCATCAACAAAGAGGTGGGGGCCAGGGTGATGCTGATCCTGACTGTCCCCCCCCCAACCACACACCCAATGCCCCGAAGAGTCAGCTAAGAATCACTTCTGTAGCACAAGATATTCATAAAAGAACTATGCTATCTGGCTTACTAAACTAATCATCAGTTATACCAATACTAACCGATAGTCTAGCACAATTTTGGCTAGGAAAAAGAAACAGGTTAAAAAAAATGATAAAAAGTCTTTGCAGGGAGTTCATGGAGTGTTCACAAGATGGAGACCTCAGTCTCTCCAGAAAGATCTTTGCAAGTTGAGCATAAATTCAGATATCTTTTCCCTCTTCTACCAGACCCTTTTTGTGGAAGGAAACTGAGTTTAACTCAGCAGAAAAAAGAGAAAAGTGGGTCCTCTTATATGGAGAGCACTAGCAATTGTTTTCCTGCTCTACATCACAAGTGCTGGCGATGTTCTTGTCATCCACGAGGTTAGGGATCAATGCTGACAAAGAGCCAACATGTCATTTCCTTAGCAAGTCCAGCAAGGATCTGAGGTGGTGCGAAGGCCAAGCAGGGGAGGGGCACAGGCCCTGACGGGAAGGCACATTGGGACAGGATAGCAGCCGTGGGGAGAAAGGCATGACCACTGTCTCCCCGGCCGGCGGGGAGAGCCAGCATTTAAACAAGAGTCATAAGTAAACAAAATAAAGTGAGTCTTTGTATTTGGAGGGAAAAACTTAAACATCTCTCCATGTTTCACGAGTTTAGTTTGGGGTTTTCTTGGGATCACCAGCATGTTTCTGAGAAACAGTGCTCAGCAGGACTAACAGAAAAGTGTATGCTGTTTTAAAATTACTACCACCACCTCACACTCTCCACACTCACACTAAAAGAAAACAAGAGGGGTGAGAAGAGTGGGGGCGGGGTACCTGTCCTTTGGTGGGCAGATCTTTCACACTGTCGGGTTTGAAGAAGGTGAAGTCAACCATGGCCTGGAACAAGGAGACCGCCTTCTCCGCATGACCAGCCTGCCGCAAGAAGTGGCACTGCTGCAGGAAGAGCGCTAAGCCCAGGGAGAGCAGAGGGAAGAGCAACCGTTAGCACCATTGAGGGGAAAGAACATGATTTCTAAAAATACACAGTTAAACACCCAGAATATCTTTTCTCTGAAATTACAGTTAATGTTTTCCAAACTGTAACACATGCATGCACTGATTTAAAAGGGTTCACAATAGTACCATAATCAAAGTATATTGATTCTAATTTTTATATAAAACCATCACAAAAAATAAATACTAACAACGAAAACTACATAGATGAAATAGGAAAGGGTCACTCTGTAGACTGGCTATCAAATACTGAAAGCTCATCGTTACAAGAAAAATTTTAGTCAAAGAAATCTCAGTTACTGCTGAGACCCGGTAACTGGGCGAAACGGGCAGGTCTATCTCACAAGGAGAGACTGTCGACAGCCCGAACAGTGGATTTTTATCAAAAAGCAAAGAGCGGCACTCAATTGACCACTAGATGGCGCTACTCACCAGCAAGTTCATCACTGGCTCAGAGTCCGCAGTAAACAAAGCAAGGATTCACGGGTGAAAATTTCAGTTCATCTTAACTATGGTACAATTTCATTTACCATCACGAAGCTCTTTACATCGGTATGGTAAATGATTATTATTCCCAGAGCAAGATTTTATATTTTTGGAAGTTAATAAAGTACTCATTGGTAGGGTGAAGGGCAAAACCAGGATTCAAGTCGAGAGTGATTCCAGCACCTTCCTAACACGCTGCTCCCTGAGTCTCACTGTTGGACAAAGTTCTACTCTACGCTTCTTCAGAGCACACCAAGCTGCTAGCCGCAGAGTAACAGCAATGACCTATACCTCTGCAGGGGTGCCAGCCGGGCAGCGCACAAACGTTACTGCTGAGACCCGGCAACTGGGCGAGACGGGCAGGTCTATCTCACAAGGAGAGACTGTCAACAGCCCGAACAGTGAAGAGACCTGAGTATATTTGCTTGGTTAATAAGCAGAAAAGTTGGAACTTCGAGTCCGGTGGTATTTTCTCTGAGGCCCGCTCCCCACCGCGCACCTACATGCCGCAGGGGAGGACAACCTGTTCCAGTTCAAAGGCATCATAACACTTTATAAAAGTCAGTCAGACTTCTCTAAATAAACCGAAACTAAATCTTCATTTTCAACCAAAGCTGAAAAGCCACTCAAGCCACTCAAAAGCATGCATTATCATCTTACCAAACATGGCCTCCTCGGTGCCGGGCAGGGCGGGGTGAGACAAGATGCTGCCATCCTTGACGGCGGACAGGGTGCTCAAACACTTCCCGTACAGGCTGTGGATTTTGGATATGGAAAAGGTGCTAAACTGGCTCTGGCAAAATAAAAGGTACTTCTGCCAAAGGGCAGTATTGTTGGGGTGTAAAAATATCAGTTTCTGCCACTCCTTAACCAGCGTTGAAGGCTCCCAGAACTCGGAGCAGAGCTTCAGCTTGGCGAGCTTCAGATCCACACTGCTCTGGTTGCTTTCGATGGCCCGTTCCAGAATGGCCAGCTTCTTCTCCAGAGTCAGCCTCAGCGACCTCCTGCGCTTCTCCTGCTCACCCTCCTCGATGGCATACAGGCCAGGACTTCTCATGACCTCGTCCTCAACAACAAAAACATCAACTTACATACACAGCCGGAACTTGGGGAGCCCCAGAATCTCGATACTACTGGAGTGACTTAGGAGCCCCAGGGGTCTCTCACCTCTCAAGGTGAACTGTAGCTCGGACTTCCTCAATAAGCGCTTGCTCATCACAATGTCTTTTGAAAAGACATTTAAGAAAAGGTTCTGAGGTTTTGGAGTTTTGTGTCACCGAGTGTTTGATCTTTACTTTATCTGCTGTACCTGTCTACTCTGTCGTTTCTAGTATGGATTTATGAATCAAAAACTAGCATGCCGTGCCACGAAAACCTTTTCTGAAGAATCAACTTTTCCAATTAAATGTGGGAAACATTACGAGTGGTTCAAAAGAAGTCAGAGGGACTACAATGAACCCATGGAAGGGAAGAGGGAGCAGGCCCTACCCGGGGAGCCCGATGAGCAGCCCCTCCTTTCAGGTGAGTGGGGCATCCAGCACCTTCTGTTTATACTTTGGGAACACCCCCTCCCGCCTGGTGAGCACCGACTCTTCTTTCAATATTCTACTTGAATCTTTCACAAGCCCTTTCTAAGTCCCCAATGGCCGTTCATGCCCTCATTCCACCCCCAAACTACTCTTCACAACATTACACGGTTCAGAACACACTCGTCCTTCATGCCAGTCTGACGTGCTCAGTGGCCCCTCAGCAAGCTCGGGCAGGGCCGCATTCCGCTCACCCTGTGTGTCCCGGCAGGGCTCCCCCAGGAGCTCAAACACTGCCCCAGTGTAAATTGGGGCAGTGCCCGAAATTTGGGCTGTCACTGAAAGGTAAGAGACCGAGGACAGCAGAACCTACCTGAAAATCAACAAATGCCATCCATAGCTGGATGTCCCGAGGATTTTCCCGAACCTTCCTGTTGAACTCCTCCACCTTAGCCTTGAGAAGCGCACTCTCCCTGTCTGGCTGTGCGTCCGGCTGCTTCAGCTCCTGCTCTGAAGGACCCTGTCCTTGTAACCACTGTGTGGTGGACTGATCATAGATGCCCAGAGGATTCAGCCAGGTTGTAACGGGGGGACCCACATCGTCCGAATCCTTCACCGGGATGAACGAGACTGGCTCCGAGGAGGGCGGCTCTGCTGTGCTGCTGATGGCAACCCCGTCGATGCTCAGCAAGCCCACGCTCTTCTTCGTAAAGTAGCGCTCCACATGCCTGTGCGAGCGCCTCTTCTCTGTGGGAGCCCCCTCCCAAGATATGCACTGCTTCTTAGGGTTAATGCCAAGGCAGGAGTCTCCTTTCCTCTTGTATCTTTTATTTGAAAGAGAAAAAAAAGTTACTGAGGGAACATGTGCACTAGCTCTGAATGACTAAAAGCTCATCAGACAAACTCTTGTTATGCAAGTTGACTGCATATATTCAAACTCACTTTACCTTCAAATTGTTTCTATTTAGAGAAACATGAGGATTAGCAATTGACTTTTTCTGCCTGCTTGACATATTCCTCTAGCTTCAGTGCTGCCTCATGAATTTAAGATCACGCCTGTCTTCCAGAACTTAGTTAAGTTCCATTTTCTGGAGCTTCGTAGTTACAGTACTGTCACCTCCACTCTGACACTCCACCACCACAACAGGCACAGCGGGAGTCATCACCCCTGTCACACTAGTCCTAAGAACACTGAGATTTTCAGTGATACTTCGGTTATATGTCACCTAGACCAGGCCCCTTTTCCTTAACATGCTGTGTCCCCACTTGAGAAGATAACAGAGCAGTCTAGATCCATTTTTAAATTCTGAAACAAAGTATGCCAAATAAAATTACATTTGGCTATTTTCTATTCTAGAGAAAAAGAGGCTGGGTTCTGAAATGCTCTCACAGAGCGTGTAGGCGTCCCCAGAGTTAGAACAAAGGGCCACCGAGTCTGCACAAGAGCTGAGGAAAACTGTCCCAGCCTGTGGGGAGGGTATACAAGCAACCCAGTTGAAAAGGAGCAGAAGATCTGACCAGAAACTTCATGAAAGAAGACGTGATGGCCAATAAGTACACAGAAAAGTGATCAACATCATTAGTCATCAGAGAATGCAATTAAAACCACCATGAGCTACACCACATATCCAGCTGAACAGCTAAAATTAAAAAGACTGACAATACCCAATGTTGGTGAGCGACAGAAGATGTATCCAGGGCTCTCATATGCTGCTGGTGGGAATGTAAACTTGTATAATCACTTTGGGAAAAGGTCTGGCAGTTTCTTTTAAAAAAAACTAAACATAGACCAGCCCTATGACCCAGCAATTCTATTCCTAGGTATTTACCCAAGAAAAAGGAAAACCACATGTCTGCCAAGACGTGTGCACAAGTGTTCTCGGCAGCTTCATTCACGGCAGCCAATTTCTGGAAGGAGCACAGGTGTCCGCCAAGATGACGGCTGAACGGCAGTGGAGGCACAGCATCCCCCACCAAAGAGCCAACCAGTGATGAACGCCAATGGCGGGTGACTTGCAAAAACACTACCCTGCCTGGGTGGAAGCAGCCAGACCAAGGGCACACACCACTTATGTGACATTCTAAAACAAACAAAAGTGATGGTGGAGACATCTGAAGAGCAACTGCTTTTGGGGAGATGGCATGATCGGTTTGGGTTCTACAGCTGCACTGAGAAAACTCAGCAAACAGAGATGTACATGTCACATTGTAGGTACGTTTTTAAATCAAAAAGAAAAAACCAAGCAAAGATTGAATGCTAGTGAACAATAGGAATGCTGAACTATTTAGGGAGTAGTGTATGGATGTCTGCAATGCATCAAAAAAAATAAGAGTTGGTGGCTGGGTGAATGGAAAGACATGTAATAAGGCAAGTGTAGCAAAATGTCAAAGGCAGAATGCAGGGGGTGAGTACGTGTGTGCAATGTATAATTTTTCAGCTCTTGCTGAATTTTTAATTTTTTTCTCATCATAAAGTGCTATGGGGAGAAAAAGGCAAGAGAGACATGCACCTTCTACCAGCATCCTGAAGCTCTGCCTCCACCTCACCCAGGCCCATCACCTCCTAGGGGCCCCAGAAGCTCTCCAGCTCCTCCCTTGCTTCTCAAGTGCATGAATTCCACTTAGGGAGAATAGTTTCCACACCTCCACACCAGCTCTCACCCTCCTCTCCGTCCTCGCCCTGTTCTCCCTGGGGCACTCAGCACCATCTCTCCCTTCCGCTATGAGCCAAAAACAACAAGAAGAGGTGAAGCTGCAGCTCTAAATCTATCACTCCCTGGGGAACAAATCTGAAGTTAAAAACTAGTTTTGTTCTCATTATTTTAGTAATATTGTTTCCTTACTATTTTCACTAAAAATGAACACTATTTTAGATATTCCCAAGAACTCTTTAAAAAATGTTTACTGACTTTTCTGACTTTAAAACTGCATTTTGGGGCCTCCCTGGTGGCGCAGGGGTTGAGCGCTGGGTTGTGAAGCTGCCCACAGCCTCTGCAGCACTGGTGCGATCCCCAGCTGCTCCCCAGCCACCGGAGGAGGGTCCCACATGGCACGCATTCCTCTCCTGCCGCCCGCTGCTCCCCTCAGCAGTGTACTTCGTCACTCTGCCTGTTCTACTCTCTGCTCTGGCGAATCCTCTCACTCTCCCGCACCTCTGACTGTACCCAGTGCTTGTATAAATAAATAAATAAATCTTTAAAAAAAAAAAAGTTAAAAAAAAAAACTGCATTTTGTGAAACTATTTTTAATAGCAGCATTTTGTAACAAATTAGATGAAAATGCCTGGGTCCAAACGCCACCATTTATACTACCTGGGTGACCCTAACCAAGTTATTTAAAAAGTTACCGAAAACCATACTGGTCTATACTACTAAGCTTCCATTTCCCAACTTGTGTGAGTGCACACACAAAGCCTTTTATTTTATTTTTTTGTTTTTTTAAAGATTTACTTATTTATACAAGCACTGGGTACAGTCAGAAGTGCGGGCGGGTGAGAGAATCCACCAGAGCCAGAGCGGGGAGCAGAACAGGCAGAAGGACCGAAGCACACTGCTGAGGGGAGCAGCGGGTGGCAGGAGAGGTCTGCGCACCATGTGGGATCCTCGCCAGGCGGCTGGAAATCGAACCAGCGCTGCAGAGGCTGCTGCAACCCAGCACTCAACCACTGCGCCACCGGGGAGGCCCACACAAAGCCTTTTAAAAACACACCTCAAGGAGCTGCAGCAGGCTTTCTCCCCTGCTTTTAAGTATTTCCCTATATCAGCAATTTTAGAAAATATAATTTTTATTGGTTTCAAACTGTCCAATATGGATGGCTGTGTCAACAATTTCCTATTGTTGGACATTTAATTTTATCCAATATATCATTTAATTTAGAATCGTGGTGATGAGACAGAACCTAGTAGATAATTTAATGCAAATGAAGGTACTTTTCCTATAAAATCCTTATCAAATAATCTGGTAGTCTTCACTTGAACAATTCCTGAGGTAGGGATCCTCCAATTTGCTTGGAGTTCCAGTAAATGGCTGTGTATACACATTTAATTTATTATTATTATTATTTAATATTTTATTTTATATAATTCTTACATCATTTTTCATTTTTGCATAATGTATGCATTTTCATTTTGGTTATATTCCCCATACAATTGCACCCCCCCCTTATTTTGACCCTAGTCCTTCCTCTCCCCACCCTTCTTCCCCCTTTGCCTCCCCCCGCCCCCCGTAGTATGTCTCTGGTTTATAATTGCTTGTTGATTTTGATTTTTACTTTGTATTAATTAGTCTTTTTCCTGGTCCCTTATTTAGGTTTTCTAAATTCCTGCTGTGAGTGAGACCATCTGGTATTTTTCTTTTTTTTTTTTTTTTTTTTTTTTTTTATAGAGGCATGTTTTCTTTCTTTCTTTCTTTCTTTCTTTGTTTTCGTTTATACATGCACTGGGTACAGTCAGAAGCGCGGGAGGGTGAGAGAATTCACCAGAGTCAGAGCGGGGAGCAGAGCAGGCAGAAGGACCGAAGTACACTGCTGAGGGGAGCAGCGGGCGGCAGGAGAGGTCTGCGCGCCATGTGGGACCCTCCTCCGGTGGCCGGGGAGCAGCCGGGGATCGAACCGGCGCCACAGAGGCTGCGGGCAGCTTCGCAAGCCAGCGCTCAACCGCTGCGCCACCGGGGAGGCCCCCATCTGGTATTTTTCTTTTTCTTTCTGACTTATTTCACTGAGCATGATCCCTTCCAGCTCCATCCATGTTGCTGCAAACTGCATGTGTTTATCTTTTTTGATTGCTGAGTAATATTCCATTGCACACACATTTAATTTAAATGAGCTCAGCTATAGGCACTTGACAGCAAAAAGAGAAAAAAGAAAGGACTATGGGAAGAGAAGATACTTTCATTCTGAATCTGAGCAGAGCTAAGTCCCTGACTGGGCTGGGCAAACAAGCTGGCTGCCTCTACCCCAGGACTTCCATTCACACATGCCTCTCAGCGCCAGGCTGCCTGAAGCCAGATTCCAACTATACCATTTAATAGCTGGGTGACCTTGATCAAGATATTTACAAAAACGAAACAAGATCCCTGTGTGTACCTTCATTTGCTCCTCTGTAAAATGCGGACAATAACAGCACTGAACTGCTGGAATGATGAAAAAAAGTTTATATATGTTAGGCCCCAGAAGAGTCCTTACAACAGTTCACTTATGTAAAGTCCTTAGACACACAGAAAGGGCTACATAAGCTTAAATTAATATTATTTTTATTTTATAAAACTTGGCTCCTAAGCTGAACTTCACTGACAGTTTATTAGCCCTGAGGGATTTTCTAAAGATAATTCTGACTGTTATACTAACTTTAGAGCCAGCGCGTTCCCCAGCACAGTACTCCATGCAGCACACAGCATGCTGAGACGCTCGCCTTACTGAAGACCTGCTTTCATTTGGGGCCAAGTCTGACTTCCTGGAACTTCCATTCATTAGTCCTGGCTTTACCTTCCCAAGTTACACAGAACAGAGCCAATCCACCTACCAAAGGATAGTCCAACAAAGCTTAAAAGATAACAACATTGTCCCCGACACAGGCCAAATATCCCTCAGCCCTTGTCCTCCCGGGACGGAGCTGGCCACGTCACTTGCTCACCTTCCTCTTGAGGTACGTGACTCATCAGTGTCCCTCTCAAAAAGTGTAAAAATTCAGTACCTGACACAATATTTCCACTGTCCTCTGACCAGTTCTGAGTGCCCTGACACCAATACCTTACTAGACCTGAACACTCACAATTGTTCAGCTGTCAATCCAGGCAAGACTACCCTCAGCTCAGTTTTAGCAAATGACTAGGAAGTCACCCCAATGCCCGAGACCTTTAAGTGTCTTTGCAGCTTATAGTTTTCTCTACCCTTTCTGTCACTCTTTAGCAGAGGCTCAAGAACCACTCTTGTTACTATTTTTTCCTTTATTATTAAACTGTAACTCCTAAATTCACACACCAATTTCTAATTCTCTACCAAATATTTGTGCTATTTAAGGATAAAGCACAGCAGGCGTTACAATTCCCAATTTCCAAATGAAGAGGCAGAGGCTCAGGCAGGGATTACGTTACTAGAAATGACAAAGTCAAGATGAGAACCAGTCTTGCCCTGTTTCCCCATCTAGAAAATGTCCATGTGAACAGAGAAAGGACATCTGAAGTCTGAGAAGCACAGGCTCAAATCACAAATGTGCTGCTTCCTGGTTGCATGATCTTGAGAAAGTCTTTAACCTCCCTGGGTTCCTTTCCCTGACTTGCCTCCTGCTCACGGGATGGCCATGAGGCTCAGGCAGACGGAGGCAAATGAAAGACCAAGAATGGGGTCATGGTACAAACTTTGTGCCCAATCAGGGCTTGCTGACGTCCCTAATATCTTACACAGGGTCTTCCACCTTGCGACACTATGTTGGGGTGACATGGAAAACCAAAAAAGACCTTAGGGAGCTCCTCAGGGACCTTTAATGCTCCTTAGGGAGCATAAAAAAATTCAAAAATGTAAGACTGCATGTTAAGTATGGTGGTCACTTATCCTCAGCCATGAGATTTTGGTAAATAGCGTGTACATATAAACATGCACTGAAAAATAAACAATGTAATACATGATAAAAGAAATTTTAGTTGGAATTCTTTATGTGGTGAGTTATAGTGTCATGATAAAGAAAGATCAACTAAAATTTGTGAGTTGCAGCAAAGTAATGAAAATTAAAATTTATTTTAAAAAATAAATTGCCTGAAAAGAATGACAATGTTTGCAAGGTTTCCTCTTGGCTTTATATTCCCTGATTTTCCACCTCCAATTTTGATTACCAATAAGCTCTTTGAGAACAGAAATTGTGTATTACTGTTCTTTATGCTCCCAAAAGTATCTTACAAAGTACTACATGCCTAAAGAGTTTTAATAAATATTGAAATGTTTTTAACTGACAGAGAAAAAAAGTTTAAACTCATTACTGAGGCAAACACCATCACCGATTTTTATGATCACCTGGTGACATATGCCATAAATACCTATAAAGTCATTTCCGTTTGTCATTTTTAAATGGCATGAGTGGGGTGTGGACATATGAAAGGATCTCGTAGCATTTTTAGTGGCACACAGATGAGATGGAATGGTTTCTGGCTAGCGTGCCACAGGTAATGAGTCCAAGGCAGTTTTAGATTCACTCATTTAACAAGTATTTTGTGACGACCTGGTACGACTGGCACTGTGCCAAGTATAAGACTAATCCGACCTGGGTCTTCATGTAAACTTTTAGCTTTCATTTTAGAATGTGAGCAAAGGCACATACCTGAACGACTTAACAGTGGATAAAAACCAATAGAAAGTAGGGGGGCAGTGCAGGGACAGAGACAACAGAGAGAGAGTTCAGAGGAGAGGCAGCTACCCCAGCAAGGAGACTCCAGAAGGTACCTCGCTATGTCTCCCCGGTAGAGGGACTTATACTCCCAGTTTGCAGGATCCGGTTTCTTATCTGTTCTGAAGGTTTCTCCTGTCAGAGCCTGGACGTCCTCAAGCCAAACAAAGCGATGGCCAACATCAGCAGCAGCATTGTTTTCCTGACTGTGGGACAAAGAAGGTGAAAGAAAAAAAAGGGGAGGCACTTAGCAATCTTCCAGCCACACAGTTCACATTTTCAGAAAATCAAACACCTCAAACTCCACTTGGCATCCAACACAACAATGTGCTGCAGAGATGGACCCCTGCTCTGGAAAGAGTTTTAAAAAATAAACACAGCAAAAGTTGTCACTAAATGGAACTTTACCAGGAAAAAAAGACAAATGATCTCAGAAAAAAACCTGAGAAATCAAAGTTCTTTTAAAATATTTTATTTAAATGACTAAGTTCAATTTCAAATATATTTAGAAACAAGCTTTTTCAAGAAAGGAAAAAAGTGCTGTCCAGAGGCACGTTAGAGTACCAGGCAGAGGAAACTAACCTTCAGGTTCCAACCATTGGTACCTGGGGGGCGGGGGGAGGGGGGTAGCTTTACCTGACCCTACTTATTTGAAAATACTCAGATCATTTATTCCCACTCCAAACTGAAAAAGAGAAAAGAAAAAGCCACCTAGGCTCCACCTAAGCGTGACTTCCCTGGGCTGGCTCTGGTATGGGTCTGCCGGTGCGTACAGGACTCCCACATCAAGGGCAGCGAGTCCACTGGAAGCCAAGACCTCGTTTATCCTTCAGAACCAATTTGTGAGTTGGCCGACTTTCAGCTCACATACAAATGGAGCCACTTCCTAGGAGTCAAGCGAGAGGGAAGGAAGGCTTTTCTGGCAGCTAACATCTTTCTTTCTCTAGAGAAAATCAGTTCATAATGTTGCCGACACAAGAAGCCAACAAAGTAGTCAAAATAGCCATTAACTGTTGTTCCATTTTTGCTCTTTGGCTGTTCCCAGATAGAAATAAGATTCTGGAGGCTTCCATATCATTCTTGGCTGAGAATACAAAGGAATGGCATTTCAGGGACACAAAGTAGTTACTCAATTATTTGTTGAATGCCACATCTCAGGTTAAAATACGTGGTGATTTTTTTTAAGATTTATTTTATTTATTTAAGCACACAAGAACTGGGGTGTAGGCTAGAGGTGCAGGGGGTGAGAGGATTCACCAGAGACAGAGTAGGGAGCAGAACAGGCAGATCTACTGAAATACACTGCTGAGAGAAGCAGTGGGCGAGACAGGAGAGGTCTGCTCCGCCATGTAGGTCAGCTCTCTGGCTGGGGATCAAACTGAGGCCGCAGTGGTTGGTGATAGCTTGATAGTGCTGAGACTTTAACCCCTGTGCATCAGGGAGGCCTGTATGTGGTGATTTTAACACATTCCCCTTCAGAACAACCATGGAGGTTTTCTATCAGCAACAAAAACCCCATAAGGAGTAGTGAAGGGAGAGAAAGAGACGGACCCTTTACAGAAAGAGATGGAAAACCAGCAGGGTGAGGGGAGAGCTCGGAGGGAAGAAGGACCAGCTATAGGTCCCCCTCGGGAGTAAGGAAGCCCTTATCCCTTTCCTATTGAGTACTGAGGTCATAAAGCAGGATGTGGTCTGGGCTGAGTGCAAGGAAGTGCTGTCTCCACCTGACAGCGACGAGGAGCTCATCCTAGGAAACAGAGGTCAATTAGAAGCTGTGGCCTCCAGGGAACTTGTCCCTCGATCACCCTGAAATAGAGTCCCACATGGTGCACTACACCATGAACCCCCTTTCCTGACATCACGGAAAGACTCTGACAACTCAGTATATATCAGTCCTGTCTCTATGGGAACAAACAATTCTTCCAGGTCACCTTCCCAGGAAGAGACTACAGAAGCTAATAGAAAGTAAAGAACCATCTACTTTGACCTTAATGGGGATATTCTGCAAAATAGCAACAAAGCTAAAATTGCTGTCTGCATCATGAAACTATCAAAAGGCTGTAAGCTCACTTCTGACGTGGTTAAGCAGAGACTGAAAATAACTATCTTTCAAGTCTCAATGCTAGTTCCTGTGTGGCTTCAGAAAATCCTTTAAAACGCATTTTCCTCAGCTACAAAAACAGGCAAGCAATTGAAGGTAAGTTTTCAATGATTAATGTATTTTGCTTTGAAGACATACTTAAGAATATCAATAACAAATTCATTCATTCACAAAACACCATGTATTTACTGCATGCCTACTCTGTATGTGGCCTTGTGCCAACTGCTAGGGAGACACAATGGTATACAAGGTAGGCATGGTTCCTGCCCACAGAAACTGAGACAAATTCAGAATCTTTTGCTTGACTCCTTAGTTTTTAACTCCAGGAGCAAGCTTGGGTTACAGGTATACTACCTGAGATGCAGAGAGCTAAATAAATCTGGACCCTGTGAGCCACAGAGGCCTGTGAGGCTTTCCAGCTCTGCTCTGATGACAGAAGGGTCCCGGGAGACTGCAGTGTTAGCCTCACTGATGGAAAATCTACAGGCCAGATTCCAAGCAGGCTCTCACTGACATCAGTGGGACTTCCAAACACACAACAAAAGCAAATAATCCCTGAAGAGTCACCAAAGTCTGATAACAAATTTTCTCTCTTCTGGGTCATCTGAACAAAGGAAATAAAAAAGTGAAGTGAGGAACAGATCAGGTAGTTTCACTACACACCACCTGTCCCACCTATGGGCAAAGCGCCTCCCTATGTAGGAAGATGTCAGACTAAGCCGAGAGGCAAGCTACCCGAGCATCTCTGCTGTGACCTTTCTATGGAATGACTTGAACAAGTGCTCAAGGTAGGCAGCAGAGCACAACTGGGGAGAAGAGAGGCCCCCGAGGAAAGGAAACTCTGGGGTCATGAGCTATTCTTTACCTTGCACATCCTGGGTCTAAGCAAGTGTGAATGAGAGCAAGAGGGAGAAGAGGATTGGTGGTTAGTGGGAGAGAGAGAACACACACCTCACAGGGGTGGATGGGAGTGACTGAGGGGAAGCGACATCGAGGAAGAGAAGACATTCCTCGTACCCTCTTATAAGTGTGAAGGCAACGAACCCCTCAGAGATGGGACTCTCCAATGCACTGGCACACGTCCACTGTGGCACACATGCCACCTTTCAAAAGTCCCAAAGAATTTTTGTCTGAATCAAATTCTGACATAATCATTACTATGTCAAAGTAACATTTCTCAAATAAAATCATGGCCCTAATTTCTTAAATGACAGCTTTCTTTTCTTCTTTAACCTTGGCCATTAACTCTGCTTTTTCACCCTGAGTTTTACTGAGATATTTATTGGCTCCATTTTGATCGAATGGCTAAATAATCATTTCAATGTTTAACTTGTGACAAACACGGAGAGAGAAAATTTAATATTTAAAATATCGTAGGAGGGGACCTCCTGGTGGCACAGGGGCTAAGTCTCAGCTCTACCAAGTTATCACCAGCCACTGCAGCCTGAGTTTGATCCCCGACCAGGGAGCTGACCCACATGGAGCAGCAGACCTCTCCTGTCTCGCCCCTGCTCCCCTCAGCAGTGTATTTTAGTCAGCCTGCCTGTTCTGCTCCCTACTCTGTCTCTGGTGGGTCTTCTCACCCACCCCACACCTCTGGCCCACACCCCAGTTCTTGTATGCATAAATAAATAAAATAAATCTTAAAAAAAAATAAAATAGCATAGGAATTTGAGAATAAATAACCTACTTCAATTTCTCTGATTCTTTTTTACTGTCTTGAGTGCTCCTGGAAGATTTGCCCTTTTCAGAGTCAGTATCTGGCTCAGATCCACTGCAGCTCGACTGCCCACGTTTTCTCTTGGTCTTCTTATGATGCTGATGCTTCCGTTTTTTCTTCTTCTCTTTCTTCTTTTTTCGGCTTGCTTGTTTGAACTTTTTGTTAAAGTCACTTTCATCTGAAGGCTCTGATTTCAGAGGACTTCTTTTTGGAAAAATCAGAATTATTTTCAAGAAAGAATTGGGGAAAAAAATATGTTAACATGCAAACAGAACAAATATACAGAAGGACTCTATAATACCCCATCAACTTACTATTTGACCATATAATATATACTGCTCTCCTAGGCTACAATTCACCGTAACACTTAAGAATTAAATAAGAAATTCAGTACTTTCTAAAACAATATTGTCATATCTATACATTTTTAAGTAAAAATAATCTACCAGTTATCTCATTAAATATAGGTTTATTTTCAGTGTATTATGCTTACATGAACTTAATGCCCCCAAAAAAGGTTTAATTCTGGTCCTTGTTTTTAAAGTTTTTAATGAAATATTTATTCCTCATCATGAATTATCTACAAATAACTCCCTCTCATGCATCAACTCTTCTCAATTTCCAAAGACTTCTTAAACCTTTAGAGTACATGGCTTCCCAGGATTCATCAAATTAACGAGACCATCTAGTCTAAATTTGTAAAAGCTCATTTCTCAAGTCAATGATCTAAAACAAAATTCTTTCAAAGCTGAGTAGAGATGTGTGACATTCTGTTTTCCCCTGCTTTTCATGAGATTCTGTCCTATTTTATAAGAGCTTCTACTTATAAGTGTCAAAAATGCAACTGAAGAAATATCTGAATTACAATATTCTGAAGGTTACTAATGAGGTTAGTAAAGTTACTTAAGAACCGCAACGATGCATTTCCCTCATGGCCTAATTATTGGCAGTAACCGTGTCATGTACTTGCCACTGCAACGCAAAGGGGAAAAAAAGGAATAATCTATAAGCGTGAGGTAAGGGAAAATATTCAAAGATCACCTCATTACTTGAAGTAAAAGGAAGTTTTTTTAGGCTTTTTAATGAGTAGCATTCAAACTGGGCTACAGACAGTAGGCTGACAAGGAGCACAAATCCAGCCACCCAAAGACCCTACCTTGTCAGCAGCGACCCCTCCAAAACAGGGGCTGTGGCCTCTTCAGTTTGTGGGCTCAGAGATGCTATGGTTCCAACACAAAAGCTTGGGTTGCTCAGCCAGTCTAGTTCTGCAGAGACAGAAGGGGGAGGTGGGGGAGAGGGGAGATCAATGACATTAGCTCAATATTTCTAAGGCAGGGGCATCCATCTTATCAGCTGACATTAATTCACAGCCAGACATTTTGAACAGTCCACAGAAGCAGAAGGGAATCCATGGAATTTTTATTTCACAGGCACAGGGCTTACCATACTCTAAAACTCGTATGAGATCCTCTTGTACAGCTTCAGAGCCATGTCGCTTGTATGGCCTAAAAGGCAACAAGTATTCACACATCCCAGCCCATGGGCATGAAATGCACACTCCCAACACATGAGGCTTTAATGATCTTGAATTTGACCCAGACAATCCCCAAAAGTCAAAAAAATCAAATCATGTACACAAGCTACCATGTTTAATGTTAATAGAGAAGATGAAGAGATTTTTCTCTAAAAACAATTCTAATATTCTAGCTTAGGATAATAGTGTAAGCCCTTCCTTGTAATAGGATTCATTCCTCTTTGAAAATAAAAACACAAGGTGTCAACTTCTCTAGTGCTAAAATTATACAAGATGTTAATAAGGATTATTGAGTGGTAAGATTCAATTTCGAAAATCTTTTTTCTGCTTTTAACCATCAATTTCTAACCCTTCCACAATGAACTACTTCTAAATTACTTATTTCCTAATTTTTAGGAGTCTCAACAGTGAGGGAAAGAAATAAAAGATGGGATAGAAGCAGCAGGGGGACCCTTAGTGGGGTTTTTATCTTGTCCTGTTCTGTTTTCAAATGGGAAGTCACCGCACATTCTTCTGCCAAGGAGAACCCATGAAATGAAGTTAGCAGAGAAGGGTAATTACACGTTTAGCTGTCATACTGAACTGTACTTATATACCATAAGGCTTTACCATTTAAAGCATACAACTCAACAGTTTTTAGTATATTTAGAAGTGTGCAACTATCACCATAAAATAATTTTAGAACATTTTCATCGCCCCAGGAAGAAACTCTATCCCTATTAGCACTTTCTCCATCACCCACTTTCTGCACCCCCACCCCCACTCTCAACCCACTAATCTTTTTGTCTCTCCAGATCTGTCTCTTTTAAGCATTTAAAATAAATGAGATCTTACAGAATGTTCTTTTGTAATGGCCTTCTTTCAATTGGCATAATATTTTTCAAGGTTCATTTATGCTGTACCACATATTAGTACTTCATTCCTTTTCATTGCCAAATAATATTCCATTCGGTAGATAAGCATTTAATCCATTCATCAGCTGATGGACTCATGGACACTCAGGTGCTTAGCTTCCTTGATTTTCTTTTAAAGATTTATTTATTTATGTATACAAGGACTGGGGTACAGACCAGAGGAGTGGGGGGGGGGTAAGAGGATTCACCAGAGACAGAGTGGGGAGCAGAACAGGCAGACTGATGCTGATACACTGCTGAGGGGAGCAGCAGGCAAAACAGGAGAGCTCTGCTGCGCCAAGTGGGTAGCTCCCTGGATGGCCGGTATCGAACTCGTGCTACAGTGGCCACAAATAGCTTCATAGGTTGCATCTTAACCCCCTGCAACCACCAGGGAGGTGCCCTTCTTTGATTATTATGCGTAATGTCACTATGGACATTATATGGTATACTTTAGTGCTATCTGGGAGGAGAACTGCTGGGTCACACATGGTAACTCAGGTGTAGAATTTTGAGGAACTGCCAGGTTGTTTTTGAAATTGGTTGCACCATTTTACATTCCCATTAACATGGGGATTCCAATTTCTCCATATTGTTGCCAACTTGCTACTGTCTTTTAAATTATAATCACCCTAGAGAGAGAGCTGTGTATTCTCACTGTGGTTTTGATTTCCATTTCCCTGCTGATTAGTGATGCTGAGCATCTTTTTCATGTGTTTATTGGTCATGATAGTTGAAGAGAAATAGCTATTCAAATCACATGCCCATTTTTAAATTGCACTGTCTTTTTACTACTAACTCTTTCTTTATATATTCTGCAGCCTAGTTTCTCATGGTAACTGCATATTAGTGAGGAGGAGCATTTGGGGTACATACTTCATGATGACAGGTGCTGTGTTTTACTCACTGTTATGTCCCCAGCACTGCAATGCCAGCCACACATCAGTAGGAGTTTTGTAAGTATTTTTGGAAAAGAGGCTAGAGAAGAAGGAAAATTCCGAAAGAAGACACAGGAAAAGGAACAGGAAAAGGGGAGAGAAAGAGCTCCTCACTTAGTGTGAATTGTACGCCAAGGACCAGGTGAAGCGTTTTCCATCCTTTATACAGTTTAATCCTGACAGCAAAGTTTGGTGGGAGGTACTGTGATCTCCACTGTATCGGAGAGGAAGGCTCAAAGCGATTACGTCACTTGTAAGGCCTCTCTCATCTAGTAAGTGCTAAACAACTGTTCATGCGATATTTCTTCTACTGTGACCTTCTTTCCTTCTGAAGTTGGTTCCCTTCCTCTTGGGCCTAATTTCTGGCAAGGAGTATGATGTGAAAATAGTTGCTGTTGCTCACTGACAGCACAATTATTTCCACAATCATCAGATTCTCTCATGAGCAAAGAAAAAGATAAAAAAAACAATATGTTAAGGACAGATGTTCTCAAACAATTCCATTATATTTTTACATAAATATTCTGGATAGTGATGACAGCTTGGAGGAAATGTAAAGAAACACAGACGTCAAAACATCATACAGTGTGTGACCCTCCGAAGTCCTTCAGTAGGAACTAGACCGGTTTTTAGTTACAATGAGGCTTTGCCATATAAAACTGCTATGGAAAAAAAAAGTAATTTATAAAGAACTAAACTCCTGGGTTTTGAACTTAAACCATCACTGACCTTTTGAGACCTACATCTCAATCAAGTCAGATACATCAACCCTCAGGGAGCTAATAAACGGGCAGCCGCTGACAAGCATGTGACAAATGCCAACACAAAGAGAATACATGGAGTATAGAAGAATCCAAACTAGGTATGGGCCAGAACAAACTGCCAGGGAGAACCTGTCCGTTGGAACCTAAAGGATGAGAAGGAGCAGGCAATGTGCTTCTAGGAAGTGGATAGGTAGAGGAAATGCCTCCATAAAGACCATGAATTAAGTAGGGTCCTCCGAGAAATGGCTGGATCATTGGGAGAAAGGAGTAAGAGAGCAAAATCAAATCTGGAGTGCTTAAGGGCTTTTAAAAAAAAGGTAGAGAAAGCAATGTACAGATTCAGATGCAATTCCGATAAAAATCTCAATGGCATTTTTCAAAGAAACAGATCAAATATTGATGAAATTCATATGGAATCACAAAAAACCTTGAAGAGCCAAAGCTCTCCTAACTAAAAAGAAGGAGAATGGAGGTATCACATGCCCAAACTTCAAGTTATACTACAAAGCCATAATAATTATTTTTTTTTTTATAGAGGCATGTTTTATTTGTTTGTTTGTTTGTTCATACATACACTGGGTACAGTCAGAAGCGCAGGAGGGTGAGAGAATTCACCAGAGCCAGAGCGGGGAGCAGAGCAGGCAGAAGAACCGAAGAACACTGCCGAGGGGAGCAGCGGGTGGCAGGAGAGGTCTGCGCGCCATGTGGGACCCTCCTCTGGTGGCCGGGGAGCAGCCGGGGATCGAATCGGCGCTGAAGAGGCCGCGGGCAGCTTCGCAACCCAGCGCTCAACCGCTGCGCCACCAGGGAGGCCCAAAGCCATAATAATTAAAACAGTATGGTACTGGAACAAAAACAAAGACCAAGTAATCGAATTGAAAACCCAGAAATAAAGGCACGCGTATATGGACAACTAATCTTTGACAAAGGAGCAAAGACTATGCAATGGAACAAGGATAGTCTGTTCAATAAATGGTGCTGGGAAAACTGTACCACCACATGTAAAAGAGTAAAACTAGACTACTACTTCACACTATGCACAAAAAATGAACTCAAAATTGATAAGACTTGAAATCATAAAACATATAGAAGAAAACAAAGGCAAAACACTCCATGACATACATCTCAGAAATATCTTTAAAGTTCATCCCCCAAAACAAAGAAAGTGAAGGAAAAGATAAACAGCTAGGATTACATCAAACTAAAAAGCTCTGTACAGCAAAAGAAATAAAAACCAAAACAAGGAGACACCCTACTGATTGGGAGAAAATATCTGTACTGCATATAACTGATAAGGGACTGATTTCAGAGATCTACAAAGAGCTCACAAGGCGCAACAAAAGCAAAGCCAACAATACAGCCAAAAAAACGGGCGGAAGGTTGGGGCTTCCCTGGTGGCGTAGGCAGTTGAGCGCAGCAATGTGAAGCTGTCCACAGCCTCTGCAGTGCCAATTCGATCCACACTAGCCTCAGAGCAACCCACATAGTGAGCAGACCTCTCCTCTGTCTCACCCACTGCTCCCCTCAGCAGTGTATTTCATCAGTCTGCCTGTTCTGCTCCCCGCTCTGTCTCTGGTGAATCCTCTCACCCTCCCGCGCATCTGGCCTGTACCCCGGCTCTTGTATAAATAAGATAAATCTTTAAAAAAAGTGGGCAGAAGGTTGCTTATTGGCCTTTTGGCTAAGAGCAAGTGTAAAAAATGGGAAGAGCTAAAAGACACTTTTCCAAAGAGGAAATGCAAATGGCCAACAAGTATATGAAAAAAAATGTTCAACATCACTTATAATCAGGGAACTGCAATTGAAAACCACAATGAGATACCACCTCTTACCATGAGAATGGCACATATTAAAAAAAACTAGTAACAACAAATGCTGGTGAAGATGTGGAGAAAAAGGAACTTTCTTGCACTGCTGGTGGGAATGTAAAATGGTCCAGCTCCTATGGAAAGCTGTGTAAAGGACCCTCAAATGACTAAAAATGCAGTTACCATATGATCCAGCAATTCCACTCCCAGGAATTTATCCAAAGGACAAAAAGCATTAATTCAGAGGGCTACCCACGCCCCTAGTTTTACTCAGCACAATTTACAATAGGTAAGATATGGAAACAACCTAAATGCCCAAAAACAGATGACTGTATCAAGAAGATATGGTGTATATATACACAATGGAATACTACTCAGCAATCGAAAAAGATAAACACATGCCATTTGCAGCAACATGGATGGAGCTGGAGGGGATTATGCTCAGTGAAATAAGTCAGAAGGAAAAAGAAAAACATCAGATGGTTTCACTTATAGGAGGAATATAGAGAAACCAAGTAAGGGATGGGCGGCGGGGGGGGCGGAGACAAAACTAGCAGGCAACTATAAATCAGAGACATTCAGCAGGGGAGTGGAGGGAGAGGGATTAAAACAGGGGCGGGAAGAGCACAAGAGACTATGG